CCCTGCTCAGTAGGGAACCGTGGCTTGGTTTTTAAAGTCCAAGAAGTAACTTTAATAAGAAAGAACAAGGTTGCTATGAGGCAGCGGAGCAGAGGGGTATGTGTGTGGCCTGCGTCCAAATACTGACTCTGCCCTTTAATGATGATCTTGGCCAAGCGGGCCTCTGAGTGCTGGCTTGGCCACCTGTAAAATGGAGATAACATTCCCCAGAAGCCTGTTGCCCAGCATTAGAGCAGAGTGGTTAAACAGTCACACTTCACCGTGAAGCCTGGTCTTCCCTCTTCGTTGTACAACTCTGAGTAGGTTACATCACATCTTTGTACCTCAGTTTTGCCACCTGCTTAGTGGGAATAAGTGTTGTTATATAATTGAAACCATACATGTGAAAATACCTTATAAATATTGGTAAAACAGAAGGCAGTGCGTTCATGGTCAATAACAAGAATAGGCTGTGCCTCTGAAGTCCTGGCCTGACCGCTGCTTGGATCCCTCCTGCTCTGGGCTACTTTCAAGCTTTCTTTTTTTATTTTAATTTTAGAGATGGGGGTCTCACTATGTTGTCCAGGCTTGCCTTGAACTCCTGGGCTCAAGCGATCCTCCCACCTAAGCCTCCGAAGTAGCTGTGATTACAGACATGCATCACCATGCACAAGCCAGCACCAAGTTTTGAAGAGCTCTTTTTATCTCAGGCCTCAAACCCAGGCATCGAAGTCGCTCTGTGGAGGGAGGGAGTTGGGGACAGTGGTCCTCTCAGAATGCTGACCTATGAGAGAGTGGAGTTTCTCTGCTCTGGGAACACCATTGTCCCATCACCAGTTCACACAGGTCATGGTCAATCTCAATTTCCCAAGGGTCTTGGAACAGACCCTTCATCCTCCTCTGGCTTCTTCCGCATTTCCCTTCTGAGTCTTCAGTTTCATCTTGCAAGAAGCCGGTCACACCTAGGGCCACCCTCTGGTATACCTCACCTGAAGGCCGCCGATCCCAGCTAGGAGCTTTTCTAGGAAAAGCCTTTTTAATATTTCCCTATTTTAGCCCAAGAAGTCTCTATCATCAAAAATGATCTTTTGTGTTTTTTTAATTATTTTATTTATTTATTTGAGTCAGGCTTTCACTCCCTTGCCCCACCTGGAGTGCAGTGGCACAAAAATGGCTCACCACAGCCTCCACCTCCTGGGCTCAGGCAATTCTTCCACCTCAGCATCCTGAGTAGCTGGGACTACAGGTGTGCACCACCATTCCTGGCTTTTTTTTTTCTTTTTTTGGTAGAGATGAGGTCTTACTATGTTGCCCAGGCTGATCTCAAACTCCTGGACACAAGCGATCCTCCCACCTTGGCCTCTCAAAGTGCTGGGATTACAGGGGTGAGCCACCATGCACGGCCTCAGGGTAATCTTTTATACAACCCGAATATAACCCAGACTCCACAAGGTCAAATCTATTCATGGGGTTCCATTTTTAAAGGCACAACAGAGGAACCAAAAGTAATTTTAAACTCACTTCAATCGTCATTTGCCTCTCAGAGAGCATCCATGGGGATTCCATCCTTAACCCACAAGGACCCTTACTATGCCCCTTCGTCCCCATTCCAGGGCTCACATACAGGCTGTGACAGAGCCGCTGTCCAACAGTGCCAGACACCCAGGTCTCAGCTTCTCTCCCTCCTGTCCTTCCCGCCCCAGCTTCTTGCTGCTCCGTTAACGTCCCCCTGGTTCTCCAACGTGTAGGAGAACCTAAGGAGCTGGCCAAGAAAGCAGGAGTCCTCGCCTTTCCTCCCGGCCCTCCAGACCTGCCTCTACACCACTATTCTCGTGTGGCATCACACAAAGCCTAAAATACACGTTGAGTCAGAACTCAGGGAAGGTGTGGCCTGTGGCTGCCAAGCCCAGACAAAATTCTTTGTGGCAGAGAGTGCGGAGAAGAGTGGGGACGCGCGTGTGCCGGTAAGTTCTGCACCCTCACATTTGTCTCCTTCCCCCACCCCCCTTTACAACTGCTGTGACCAGACTCAGAACAACAACCTTTCTGAGTAGCCTAGTTTGGAGTGCAGAATCATCTCACTTGAGGGCCTCTGGGACCTCACGGCAGACCCACTTGGGGCCCAAGACGGAGCCTGAAACAGGTGGAGACACCCAGAAAGCAAAGCCTGGCCCTGTGAAGGACAGTTTGCTTCCAGAGGTGTCCTGCCAAGGTGTCCTATCTCCGGCATCTCAGCATCAGAGTCCCCGGGGCTGCCGGACAGGAGCACTAATATTCTCAGTCACCACCCAGATCTCCACAACCCAGGACTGCTTCCTGCTGGTGGAATCAGGAAGCAGTTAAAAAAAAAAAAAGTCAGGCCACCTTTCAAACACCTCCAACCTTGCATTCCAGATCCTTCCCACAAGAGCTGGGGAAGGCCTTGGGCATGAGCAGGAGAAGACTCAGGCCCAGGTCCCCTGCATCCCACTGTGACTCCAAACCGACAGGCTGACAGGCTGCAGGTGAACGAGTCACTGGGGACAGCTGCTGGATGCCAGGGTTGGGGGAGAGGGTGAGGAGGGTCCTGCTTTCCACAGCCAGGCATGGGCAGGCAGAGCCACTTCTGCCCCAAGCAAATCAATTAAAGGCCTTGGCCGAGCCTGTTTGAGTTGGTGAGAGCCCAAGTGGGAATTCCAGTCTGCCAGTGTTTGCTCTGCAGGCAAATACAGCCAAACAGAAACGCTGCCTCGGGACTTAGCGCCAACTATCCATCAGCTTGTCCTGCCAACAGCGCCAGGCCAGCCCTGTGCACGTCACCCGCTCCCAGCTCTCTGCTCTCTGAAAGCCTTCTTCTTGTGCCCTTAGAGGCAGCTTGCCCTCCCACACCACACCCTGCTGGCCATGCCAGGGCTGCCATGCTGGGCCTGGGACCCAGGCCTTCCGTGTCTGCCGTTCCATCTGCCATTCTGAACCAGCTCCATCTAGAGACCTGTTCACTCCCTTCTGCAGGTTCTCGATCTCTGCACCCCCTCTCAGTTCCCTCAGTTCCGTCCTTCCCTCCCCCCCCCCACCGTTGGCCAGTCCCTGACCGGCACAGCCCATGGTAGGTGGTCCCAGCAGGGGGCTGATGGATGGAAAGCCAAATTGTGAGTTGACCCCTTCATTTCTCACACTCTTGCATATGTTTTATTGGACCCTGGTAGTGGGTCAGTTTTATCATCCCATTTCTCAGAGAAAATAGCTGTGGCTTCAAAAGACCAGACATTTTGGCTAAGATCACCCAGGTCTCCTGACTCCAAAACCAGGGAACTTTCTACCTTGTCCTACTGAGGCAAATTTTTAAATCTTTTATTCACTCCCAGATGCCAAGAGCAACCAGGATTTCTGATGAGAGCAGATGGTCATGCCTGGGTGTTCCCATGAGCTATGTTGGCACACCCAGTATAAGCAATTAGCACTCTCTACATTGCCCCGGCTCTGAAGTAGAGCCACTGCCTCAGGCCTGCCTGTCTTGCTAACTGGGCTGCACTCACCAGAGCACACCTGAGTGCCCCAGCCTGGAGGCCTCCCTGGACAGTAAGACCCCGAGCTTCTTCTCCCTCTGCCACGAGGGGCACAGACACCCTACCTACCTCAGCCCACCCCAGGGCTCTGGCACAAGTGCTCTCCACTCGGGAAATGCCTCGGCTGCCTTCCCTGCCCTCAGAGAATGCCCCCACACACACAGTATGGCCATGGCTCCCATCCTCAAGATCAATCCTTTTGACTGCTTTCATGATTCTCAAATGGCTTTGAGTGTCTTAGAAGACAGGTGCTCTTTGTCACTTCCTCAGGAAAACTGGCCAGATAACTGTCTTCCCCGCACCACCATGAGCACCAAGAGGGCCAGGACTAGACTGTGGGTTTCTCACCACAGAACCCCCAGCACCCAGCACAGTTCAGAAAACAGTGGCTGGATATAGGGATGAAACCATGAGGACAGGCTCCTACTACCCTTTCCCTGTGGCCTCCAGGACACCATCATCCAAGCCTGCAGCCCATGGGCCCACCCAGACACTACTGTCCAGCCACTGGAATCTCTGCCTCATGCATTTTCTGCTAACTCAACTCCTCAGCATGGGTCTGGTACCCAGCTGTAGGTACCAGTCCCAGAGCCCTCCTTCTCCTCTGTCTGAGGTGGTACCACCAAGGTGTCAGGCCTCAAGCATACCCCCCAGCTGTGGCACAGAGTAGGCGCGGCCGGACCTCCGGGCTGGCCAGTATGGAGCAGGAAGTGTCAGCTGCACTGCCCTCCTGGGGTCTTCGGAGGGCTCCATCGTGGCTAAACCAGAGTGGTACCGGGACCTTGGCAGCTCTGATGGTCATTTGACCAGGAACGACAAAGAAAATGCCACCTTGTAAGTCAAGAGTCCTAACTAGCCATGCAAGGCAAGCAGCCCAAGTGCCTGGTGCTCCACTCCTCTGGGCCCTGGTACAAGGTACCCTGGCATTCCCAGGAGGCTGCTCACACAACAGAATCCTGCCAGGCCAGTCACAGCCATACCTCTTGGGGTGAGCCTGGGGGAAATCAGAGTAGACTTCCGAAGAGGAGTCTCTGCAGCCATGGGACCAGAGATGTGACTTTGCCAGGTGTGGGAACACCCGCACGGATCAGCCCTCAGAGGCTCCCAGAGCAGCAGGGCCACACCAGCTTGAGCTCAAAGGGTCCATGTGTTTTTCTGGGGCTGCCAGAGGCCCTTCTTGGCCTGGGGCCCTCAGGCAGCTACCCCAGGTCCCTGCGTTGAGTTCAGGCCTTATACTTGAGCCAGTATGACCCCTGGATGTGGCCTCTGGCCAGGGCGAGTCTTGAGCCTCCCTCTCCCCATTCCCCAGGTCTGCTGGGCCCTATGGGGCTGGGAGGCGGTCACTGGTTCTGGGAACTCAGACGTCATGGGCACCTGCCCAGGCCCAACTCCCAAAAGTGGAAAAACACCCTAGTCACAGCAGCTTTGGGGAGGCCATCACAGAACACCTGCGTTTAATGGGTCCTGTCACATGTGAGGCCCTCGATGCCCGGGTACCCCCACACCAGCTACTCCTCAAAGAACTTTTCCAGGGACTGGGTTTTCTCCTGGGGCAAGTCTTCGAGCATCAGGCCCAGCACATGTGCGATCTCATAGTACAACTCTTGAAGTCTGAAAAATGGAAGAGGAGGAGATCTGAGATGGGAGCGGGTTCCAGGCCACCCAGGCCCATCTACCACACGCTTGCACCTGCAGATTCATCACACCTGGCAGGTGTGTGGGGTCATGGAGAAGCAAGGACTTCCGAGCTGCATCAGGAATCCTGGGTCTGCCACCCTGCCTGGGGCCCCCAGGAGCAAGGGATTTCACCTCATGTGTCAGATTGGAGGTAAACCCCTGGGTTTACTGGGTGACCTTGGGCAAGTCTCTGCCCCGTCCCATCTCTGCCCTCTGCTCTCCCCATTGGGGAGAAGTAACTATGAAGAAGTTTCCAGACATGCTTGGACTGCTCTTGGGCCAAACGCGGGCATTTTCCAACCTTTTCTTTTTAGCTTCTCCAGTCTCTGAAGCTCTCCGAGGGCTTTCATTGAGAAGCCAGTCTAATCACGTCTGTCCTTGCTCAAGAGCCCACTGGGGCTCCCTAGTACCCACAGCTCCTCTGCCAGGTTTTTACCTCATTCCTGCTCAGTAATGGCCTGTCATAATCCCACCTCACTTATACTAAGCACAAGCCCTGGGCCAGGCCAAGCTCTGAGCTTCACACACGTTTTCATTGAATCAGCCCAGCAGCCCCTCATATGACAGATGGGACAGGGCAGAGACTTGCCCAAGGTCACACAGTAAAGTAGTGGCATAGCCAGAGCAGACACCCAGGCCATCCAGTGGGCCTTCCTCTGCCCTCTGAAGAAGCGTTAGTGAGAAGGGCCTGGAGATTTAAGGGAGCCGACAATTCCTACAAGTCAAGACGGGCTGGGAAGGAGGAGGGGGAGCAGACTTCCCCAGCCAGGGCCCGTCCACGCCGCAGCCCAGGCTTTGTGTACACATGAAATCCTGCACCCCCACTAAGGCCTTGGTCTGCCCACCCACCTGCACATCAGCCAACACACCCACCCTCTCTTGGGGCACCTGACACAGCCCGACCTCGATGCAGCCCTAAGCGCCCGAAAAGGCTGGAGCTGGAACTGACTTGTAGATCGTTGTGTCCTGATGGTCCAGGGTGGAAAGGTAGATATCCATGAAGGGCAGACTAGTGCCAAAATCGTCCAAGACCATGGGGTCAGTGTGCCGCAGGGTCTTCTTAAAGTTCTCCACCAGCTCCCTGAAACGTTTGTGCTCAACGTGTCCCTAGAGAGGAAAGAATTATGAGAGAACGATGACAAGGAGCTGACAGACAAGCCGCAGCGTCCTCAGGCCCTCCGCGGCGGTCCCCAGGCAGAGGCCTGACCCTGAGCCTAGCCACACTTCATCCTGACTCTCTCAGCTCCCCCGGATGAGGAGCCACCACCGGCATGGAGGCTCGCGAAAGCGTCAGCTAGAGTCTGAGTGTGGCTTGGTGTGGCCTCCCCCGCCCTGGACACACCGCAGGCACAGTCAAGACAGGCACCCATCTCCACCTCAGGGATGAGGCTGGGGAGGCCAGTCCCGACCCAGTGAGGAGGGCCACAGAGCATCCATGGGATGCTCAGAGCACTTAGGCCAAGAGAAGCTTCTCCCTCCCCACCCCCCGACCCTCATGGCGGTATCCTGCTTCACGGAAAGCCTCCAGCCTGTTGTGCTCTTTCTTACTCTGGCTTTATTATCGTGAGAAACCCAAGAGTGTGAGGCACCCTGTCAGAGTCTCCACTGCCTGGCACACAGTGAGTCCTCAGAAGGAAGCTTCTGGCTAGATGTGGTGGCTCACGCCTACAATTCCAGTACTTCGGGAGGCCAAGGCAGGAAGATCGCTTGAGCCCAGGAGTTCGAGACCAGCCTAGGCAACATGGTAAGACATCAACACTATAAATAAACTGTATGTTTATTTATGTTATTTACAGGGAAAAAAATAGCGCGGAGTGGTTGTACACACCTTTAGTCCCAGCTACTCAGAAGGCTGAGGCAGAAGATTTACCTGAGCCCAGGAGGTTAAGGCTGCAGTAAGCAGTGATCATGTGATTGCGCCACTGCACTCCAGCTTGGGCAACAGAATGAGACCCTGACTCAAAAAAAAAAAAAAAAAAGAAGAAGAAGGAAGCTTAAGTACAGAGTGCCTGGCCACAAAGGCCCAGCAGCAGAGTTTTGCCCACTAAGGAGGGAGACATTATAATCACAGCACTCAATACACCAAGAGCTTCAAAGGAACACAAAAACACAGAGAGTAAAGCTGGACCTTGGAAAATACGCAAGGGAGGCACCCACCTCACCTAAGGCCGCAGACACCGAAGGCCAACTGCCCTCCACACAGGTCCCAAGGCCCCTTTCTCCTGGCCTCTCCACCAGCCCCGACATTCCGTCCGTCTGCCTGTCAGCCTGCCCACCTGTGCATGCATCAGCCTGCTGAGCTCCTTCTGCTGCCGCCTCAGAATCACCTTCCTCTCTTCCATGAGTGTCGCATGCCGCTCCACCATCAGGTCTCGCTCGAACTGTTTGATGGAGTCCTGGAGACCCAGAAGACGGAGGTTGGGGGCAGGCCCTCACTGCATACACACTGCCCAGTCTTTCTTCTTCCCTAGCCTTGTTCCATGCTCGGGCCCTCAGCAGGGGCATCCTACCCACGTGCAGCCCCCAATCCAGCCAACTGCAGCTGCAGAGTCAGCCCAGGCCCCGTGTCCTGGCGATCACCATCACAAGGCCAGGCAGATGCCTTGGCTCAGGGCGGGGGGCTGGGCTGGCTGAGGGAAGCGCCCACTGGGCTGCCTCCCCTCTCCTTCCGGAGGGAGACACAGCTCAGGGTCCTCCTGGAGACTCGGCCCACAGCTCCACCAGCCACACCTAACCTGGCCTCCGGTCCTTGTGAGCACAGCCTCACCTCGGTGTGCATGATCATCACGCCCACAAACATGTTGAGGAAGATGAAGGAGGCAAGCAAGATGAAGGTGATGGTGAATGCCCAGCTCATAGCAAACTTCCGATTGTCCAGCTCCTTCTGTAGGTCTGTCCAGCCATCAACCTGCTCAGGCAGGGAAGGGAAGGCTGAGGCCCAAGGCCCAGCAGGGCAGGCTTCCTTCTTGCCTATGCTAGGGGAGTCCCAGCCCCACTGAGGAGGAAGGTGGCTCTGCGTCCAAATCAGCCCTTCAACACCTCCCAACCCACTGGCTCCGGTATATATACTCTGGCCTGGGAGTGCAGGGCGCCATTGGCTGGGGACTCTCCTGGCCAACATGTCTTGGGGTCTCTTCTTTCAAGGCCTTCCAACCTTCCCCAGAAGACATGACCTCTCTTCCAGGCCCACCTTTGAAAAGACCTCATGCCTTCCAGAATCCTCCTGAATCCAGACTTCTAAACTTGGACTTTGCATGCTCATCCAGGTTAGATTTGTAACAGCCTGTTCCCTAAAAGGCTAGGTGATGGTTTGGGGTTTCATTTCTAAATTAAACTTCATCCAAATGAAGTATCATTTGAGAACTCTTTGAAAAATTGTACGACCCTGTGAGACATATATGAATACTCCACGGAATCACAAAGTTAGAGACAGAGATGAATCCTGTCCTGGGCACTGGCCTCTGATGGGGGCCAGCGCCCAGCTCTGCTGGGCCTGGCTAAGAACCTGGACGTGAGGAAGGCCCACGTGAGGCCCAGTACGTCCACATGCTCGCACCTGGGCCGTCCTTCTCATGGCCCCAAACACAGTACCGTGGCCAAGCTGAAAAGGGTGAAGAAAGCCGCAGCCAGGTTCCCCCAGTTGTCACGGTCACCCTTGTCTGGAACTCCAAACAGGCAGAAGCCCAGGATGGCGAAGATGAACATCAGGAGGAAGAGCAGGGTGAGCACAGAGGCCACGGTATAGACTGTCTGCCCCACGGCGGTGATAAGTGTCTGCAAGGCAGGGATGCTGTGGCTAGGCAGGAGCTCGGGTTGGCTGCCCAAAGGACAAAAGTACAATCTGGCCAGGTCAGAGGGGTCCCCAGCATCTGGTGCTATGCCTGGCACACGGTAGATGCTCAGCAGGTATTGGCTGAATGAGTGAACGAAGTGAATCAGAACTCTGCCCAGAATGAGGGCTGGTTCAAGCTAATGCTGGTGACCAATGTCCACCATCCACCCCCACTCCCCTCTCAGGTCTAAGGTAGCCTCCCCCTCAACACCTCTAACCACTCCAACCACTTGAACCCCAACCTGGTTCTGAGGTCATCCAGGAGGTCCTGCTCCTGCTTCTCAGCTGAGGGCTAGCCCTGAAAGCTCTTTGCCCCAGGCCCAGGAGGAATAGGGGAGCCACCTTAGGAGCAAGAAGGGTGAGGGCCGAGAGGAATGCGGCTCCCCATTCCTTCTAGGCCCCACATGTCTTATGGCTTCAGTCTTCCTCTGTGAAATGCGCATTTGTCTTATCTCCCTACTACATTGCCCATTCCTGGGGGGTACGGTGCATGGCTCCTCACCGTTGATTCTCCATGCTCTGGAGTCTTGCACGGTAGGTAGGCATTATCATTCTTACCATTTCAAGATGAGGAATCAGAGGCTCAGAGAGGCAAGCTGTCTTGGCCAGGTCACACTCCAGTTCAATGGCAGAGGTAGCTAGGATCAACTCCCACACCTTTTGCCCCATGCCACCACCTTCAGCCGCTTGTAGCCCTGAGCACAGAGACTGTCTATGGGCTGAGCACCAGGAAAGGAAGTGCTTAGGGTTAGGACACAGGACAGTGACTTCTGGACAGCTTGGAATCATCTGGGAAGCAGAGAGACCATCCGAGAGTACAGGGCTGTCCCACATGGGGAATGGTCTCGCAGCTGCCCACGGGAATGAACACACCCAGATGCTCCCTTCTCTCCTTGGTAGAAGAAAATCAGTGTTTTTGGATTCACTGTAAAACAGCTGAGAGGTTAAAGAAAAAATTGTCTCCCTCTCCATTAGACAGAGGCAGAACTTCCTTCCCAGACTAGAAAGATGAACACAGAATCCTGTGAGAAAGGCTGTGATGGGATGCTGTCCCAGGCCAGGTTCTGCATGGGTGGGAAGCAGGGACCACCCAGTGGCAGAACCTGAGGCCCATGCAGAAGGGTGGGGGAGAGGCCCGGCTTGGTCTCCCAGCTCCAGGCCAGCCCACAGACTAGTGCCACCTGAGGTCAAAACTGAGCAACCTTGGAAGTGACAGTGGAGGAACAGTCATTCTCGCCAGGAAGCCCCACGCAGGACCTGCAACAGCTGGTCTTGGTTCTTCAAACACAATCCAGGCAGACCCCAGTAGCGTGCAGTCCGGGAAGGTACAAAACTCTAGTCCCAAAAGATGGTTACCCAGATCCCCTCAGGCCAGTAACTTCCTCCCTGAGGAGGTCCTGGGCTTTGGAAGCCAATGGTCTGGCCCCCAGTAGATGCCTGATTTTGAGTTCCCAAAATCTATGAGGAAGCAATTCCCAGCATGCAGTTCACCTCTCCTGGGCTCTGGGTCAAGCCATGCCGTACTCACGGCCCTGGAGCATTCTGGGTGTGGAAGGGAGTTTCAGGCAGGGCAGATGCCTAGGGCCAGTGCTTGCACAGAGCCCTCCTGCACAGCCCCTGGGATGCATGGAAGATGGTCTGGTCTCGGGGGTGGGGGAGGTGGGGAGGAAGTGGAGGCTGGCATTTATACCACAGCGCCGCAACTGAAGGTTGCTTTCAGACTGAAATGCGGATGAACAGGAGAGGTATGGTACTTGGGTGATCAGCTGACAGAATTTCTCTCTGTGTAAAACAATCAGGAACTCTTTCCTCATGGTCCAGGTTTGTTGTCATGAGGTAGAAGGCAGGGGGTCATTTTAATTAATAAGGGATCGGGAGCCAAGAATGTGCCAGAGTACCAGCTCTGGGCACAGGGACTGCAGCTCTCTGAAGTCTTCAATTCTTAGACTTCAATTAATACAAGTTACCTCTGAGGTGCAAGACTCAACATTCAGCAGCTCCAGCTCCCCTTTGCTCGCAGGCCAGGCCAGTGTACAGAGGGCATATTTTCCAGGGTCACTTCTGTGCCTCTGGGTATATGAGGTCCTATGACATCCCAAAGGCTACAGGAGAGCCACAGCCAGGGTGACCGGCGATCCCCAGCGAACCACTTTAGGATGCAAGGCTCTGCTTAATGACAGAGAAACCCTGAGGCCAAATATGTACATGTCTATGTATGCTGTGCCTGCACGCCCATGGGTTTCTGTGCATGTCTGCAAGGACCAAAGGCTGAGTAGTCGCCAACTGAGCGCAGCTTGTTCTGGGCTACAGCCCTCAGCCAACAGGTTCCTCACTGGAAGGACAGACTGCCTCTGCCAGGACTTCAGCCCTGAGTGCCTCAGGCCTTCGGCTTCTGACCAGGCTGCTGTGATGCAGCCTAGACAGGTACACTCAGCAGGCAGCTAGAGTCCCAGCCTCATGAGGCACCCATCTGGGTCTCTGCTTCTTTCTTCCAAGACAGAAGCCCCTTCTGCCACCCATTCTTTCTGCTTCCCTCCTTCCTGTGCAGCCCTCCACCCACTGCCCATCACTCATTCTCATAAGTCCCATGGGTCTCTGGCACCCCCATCCACAGTGATCCCTCTCCTGGCCTCACCTGAAAATCCCCTCTTAGCCGAGGGCATCACAGACTAGTATCTCTCTTCAAGGAGGCTGCCTATCCCCCACTGCCCTCAGACTCAGGGGCTTCCCCTCAGAGCCCCTGCCTTCCTTCATGGGCAAAGCCCCCGTCTCTGGGCAGGACCAGCCTTCATGCTTCCTGCTTGTCTTGAAGTCTCTGCCTCCAGACTCACCACTCCCTTCTCCACCCCATCCTGCTGTCAGCCTGGGACTTTCAGCATCTTCATGGATGACCTGCCATCTTCTTTGTCTCTGGACTTTGTCTCTGGACTTCCTTACCTCGGGTGACCCTGGGACCACTCCTGGCCCTGCTCCCTTGGTGCCCAACACCTGGACAAACTGGGTTACATTTCCCACTGCCTAGTCACGCCCTCACTCCAAGGTGCCCACCACCTGACACTGAACGCCAGGGACCTCCAGTCTTTTCTCCTGCCCACCTGCCTTGCTCTCTGCCCTGTCTGCACCCCAGTGCCGGTTACCTCAGACTCGCCCTCCCCTTCTCAGATACATTTCAGACTCTTGTCTTTAGCCTACAAATAAGGGGAGCCACCCTCAGGTTTGAAACAAGGGGTATCATGCCGTGATATGCACTTTAGAGTCCCCCAGTTGCTAGGGCATTTCTGTCCCAGGGCCCCCAGTAATGTAGGAAGCCACTGCAGGGACCCAGCCAAAGGCAGAAGGTGACAGGGATGAAAAGATGTGACAAGTCAGTAACTACTGAAGAGGCCACGCAACAGGACCTTGAGAGAGAGGAGTCCAGCTGACACCTAAATGTATGACTTGGCCACTGAATAGGGGTAGGGGACCCTCTTTACCAAGGGACGAGAGCCTAGAAGAGAAGCCAAGGTTTTAGACTGAGGTTGGGGATGGGGGAGAGTGATGACTTCCAGTTTAGGCATACTAAGTTTGAGGAGCCCGAGATGCCCGGGGACAGTTAGGTCTGGAAGTCAGAGAGAGAGGCATAGGCAGGTGAAGAGCACTGTTAGGTGGGAAAGGTCACCCAGAGAGAACATGCAAAGAGGGAGGAGGAAGAGAACTCAGGGGCTGTGCACAGTGGCTCATACCTGTGATCTCAGCACTTTGGGAGGCTGAGGCAGGAGGATCACTTGAGGCCAGGAGTTCGAGACCAGCCTCAGCGACATAGCAAGAGCCTGTCTTTAAAAACATAAAAATAAAATAAACAGAGCCCAGGAGACAGCCCTGAAAAAACAACACTTTCAGGCCAAGCAAAGAAAAAATACACCCGGGAAGTCAGACTGTAGGAAAACCAAGAAAAAGCAGTGACAAGGATGCCAAAGGAGACAGCCACTGGATCTGATGACAAGGAGGTTGTTGGCAACCTAAAAGAGGTTAGTTACCCTAAAGTGAAGAGAAAGAAGCCAGGACAAAAATGATGGACAGGGAAGTGGAGATTCAAGTAGGGACACCTTTTTCTAGAAGTCTAGCCATGAAGAGAAGGAGAGGGAAAGCTGGAGTACATTGTTTGAGAGGAGACACCCACACACAGGAGCGTGTGATTACATGACAGCAAGAAATGAATGAATGGGTGTGTGTGGCCAGGGGAGCTCCTGAATATACCCCTTCTCTTCTGCACCCAAGCCTGGGGCTCCCTGCCTGTAGCCAGTCTTGATAGCCAGCCACCAGGCCTGGGGTAGGGGTGGTCCACAGCAGGACAGGCTGACACACCCTCACTGAAAAAACAGGTCACACCAGCCCCTTTCTGGAGTGGATCCTGGGTGCAGAGCCAGGACATGTGATGTACGAATGCCTGAGGGCACAATTGAGGGTAAGGGGTCAGTCCTGAAGTTGTTCTGCAGCTTTCTGGTCTAGGAAAGGCTGTCACTCCATGACTTCCAGCAACCCAGAAAGACTTCTCAGCAAGAGCAGCACTTCCAGAGCTGCCTTAACAGAGTAAAGAGACTATTCCCGGCAAGAGATGCCACAGACTTTCAGCTGCTTGGGGAAAGCAGCTAGTGGCCAAGGCCACCAAAAAGCTGGAGATTCCTAGGCATGTAGTTCAAAGGATCTGTAGCATCAGAAATTCAGTCCCTCGGCAGCATGGGAGAAAGGACAAGTTTAGATGGCCTCTGGAGTTCACTGCTGGGTGACATGGGGCCTCAATTTCTTCATCTGCAAAATGGAGCTAATAAGATTTCTTACAATTATTTTAAGTTAATGAGATAATATCGGCAAAGACCACCTGCCACACAGTAGGACTCAATAACTGGTAGACAGTAGCAGAATCATTGTTTCCTCAGGGGCTGGTGGGCAGATGGGCCCCGTAGTCTGCCCTCTCAGAACCACGGCGCCCCCAGGGCACTCACCCGGATGCCCCGGCTGTAGGGGATAAGCTTGAGGATCCGCAGGGACTGTAAGCCATCAGCGATGTGCAGGTAGGGATACTGTGTGCCCTTGATCTTGCGGAGGACATAGGGGAAAAAGACGATGATGAAAATGAACAAATCGAGCAGGTTGTAGCCATCCTTCCAGTGATCAATGGGCTCCACATAGACCTTCATGAATAACTCAGAGCTGCAGATGGACAGAAAGGTGATCTCCGAGATCTGCAGGAGTGGCAAGGGTTGGAGGGGTTAGATCCAGCTGCAGAACCCTATAGTCCTGGCCCCTTCCTTGCCTGGGCCACCCAATCAAGCATGGGGAAGGGTGCTTCTGAGTCACCCACGTGAGAGAGAACCCCAGTAGAGTCCCTAGCACACAGTGGGGACTCGGTGTGCCTGGCTCCCTTCCCCTTCCACGTCCTCCCTACCCCGTGCACCTACACCTGGGCGTAGGTGTGACTCTGGGTACTTGGGAATGACTGCCTGTCAGACTGAATGACTGGATAAGCCCCAGTGTACAGCAATTTCACATGTCAGGCAACCTTTATATTACGTTTCCCAAGAGACGGTCCCAAAGGTAGAAAACTATGTTCAGGCCAATCTGAGTATACAAACTTTCAGGAATATGGATGAAATACTCAAATATCTACTTATCAATTGACTCAATCCTACATAAAATCAATCAACTAAAGTAATCTGTATCTGAAGAACATTCTACTCTTTTTTCACTTTATACTTTATGACTCAATATTCTTCAAATTCTTCTCATGCATTTACAACTCCAGTGGCTTTGTTTTTACCAAGAGGTACCTTCTGAGTCATTTAAGTATTTCCTTACCATCTCAATTGATTCATCATCTTGACTATCACACAAATCAATTTGTTCATTCATTGGAAAAGCTGTGACTGACACCTACCATGTACCAAGTAAACACCATTTTAGGCACTGGGAAACGCAACAACAAATCAGAAAATGCCCAGCCCCTGGGAAGTCTCCAGGTCTAGGAGGGAGACAGAAATAGATGCTTAAACAAATACATATGAATATAACATGAGGTAGGAAGGAAAATAACCACCCAAAGGAGAGTGAGGAACTGGCTAGGTGGGGGAGAGGCAGCCCTGTCAGTTATTTTAGAAAAGGTGGTCACAACCAAGCACAGAAAGACAAATATCGCATGTTCTCACTCATATACTAGAGCTAAAAAAGTGGATCTTATGAAGCTAGAAAGTAGATTGGTAGTTACCAGAGGCCAAGAAGGGTGTGGAAGGGGGGATGATGAAGAGAGAGGTTGGTTAATGAGTATACTTAGATACACTTATGTAGAAGAAATGAGGCCTGCTGTTCAATAGATCAGCAGGGTGACTATAGTTAACGATAATCTATTGTACATTTCAAAATAGAACAAGAGAGTAATTCAAATGTTCCTAGTGCAAAGAAAAGATAAATACACTTACTTAAGGTTATGGATATTCCAATTACCCTTGTTTAATTAAAACAATGTATCAAATTATCACATGCACCCCAAAAATGTACATCTAATATGTATCAAAAGGAAGAGAGGGAGGGAAGGAGGAAGGAAGGAGGAAAAAAGGAGGGGAGGGAGGGTAGATGGGAGGGAAAGGTGGTCCAAGAGGTCTTGTGGAAGCAAAGAGTCGAGCCAAAACAAAAACTGGGAGAATGATTGCAGGAAGTGGGGAAATGGGGAGTCCAAGGGCCTAAGGTGAAAAGGAGGATGTTCAAGGAACAACACAGTCAGCATAACTAGAACAGGAAGAGGGAGAGCGGAGCATGGGTGCAGGTGGTACAGGACGTGGGGAGGCAGACTGTGTAGGGCCTCGTAGGCCTGGTGAGGACTTTGAACTTTAATCTTGGCCTTGGAGGATTTTGAGCAAAGAAGTGTTCTGAACCGGTTTACATTTTTAAGAGATCTCAGAACAATTCCTGCATGTTTTATTGTGCACATGTCTCTCTCGGTTACATACCTAGGGTGGAATTACTGGGTTATAGGATAACAGCATCTTAACTTCACTAGATACAAACTGTTTTCTGAAGTTATTGAACCAATTTAGTATCAATAGCAATTGTTCTACATCCTGGCTAACACTTCCAACTGTCAGACTTCTTCGTTTCTGTCCGTCTGATGAATATGAAACAGTATCTTATTTTTAAATTTTCATCTATCTAATTATTAATAAGGGTGGACAACTTTTTTTTTTTTTTTGAGTTGGAGTCTCACTCTGTCGCCCAGACTGGAGTGCAGTGGCCGCTCCCAGCCACTGTAGCCTCGACCTGCTGGGCTCCGGCGATCCTTCCGCCTCCGCCTTCCGAGTAGCCGGAATTACAGGCCTGCACTACCACGCCCGGCTAATTTTTTTGATTTATTGTAGAGATGAGGTCTTGCTGCCCAGGCGGGTCTCGAACCCGCGGGCTCAGGCAATCCACTCACCTCAGCCTCCCAAAGGCGCGGGATTACAGGCTGAGCCACAGAGCCCGGCTAGTACAACTTTTTATATGTTTAAATTATGAAGTGCCTGTTTCTAATCTTTTGTCAAATTTTCTGCTGAATTGTTTTATCTTTTTCTTATTGATCTAGAAGACATATTTTACAGATTTTGAATGCTAATCTTACAAATATCTTCTCCCACACTGGCTTAGCATGTTGACTTTTCACCTTTTTAATGGTCTTTTCATGAATAGAAGTTTTACATTTTAATGGAATCAAATTTACCAAACCTTTTCTTCATGGTTTACATATTTTCTGTCTTAAGAAACTTTTACCTCTCTAAGATCATATAAGCATTCTAAAATTAAAGTTTTAATTTTCAAGTTAGGTCTTTAATCCAGCTATGCATGCTATGAAATAGAATATCCATTGTATTTTTTCCCTATGGATAACCAATCACCCCAGTACCATTTAATGAAGACTCTGTCTTTCACCACTCATCTGTTGTGCCATCTGACACATGCCAGGTTTCCATATAAGCCAGGGTCTGATTCTGCATGCTCTATCTGTTCTGTTGGTGTGTTTGCCAATCAACACATCATCCCTCTGCCTTAAACATTATAACTTTCTAGAAAGTCTTATTATCTGGTAAGTCAAGGCTTCTCCCCTTTTTACTATCAAAATTGTCTGGATTTTCCTTCATCCTCCATTCTTTTATCTAAACTTTAGAATCAGTTTTTTGAAGACAGAAAAGTCCCTGGCTGGGCGTGGTGGCTCACACCTGTAATCCCAGCACTTTGGAAGGTGGAGGTGAGAGAACTGCCTGAGCCCACAGGTTCAAGACCAGCCTGGGCAACTTGGCAAGACCTCATCTCTACAGTAAATCAAAAAATTAGCCAGGCAGGATGGTGCACACCTGTAGTTCCAGCTACTCAGAAGGCTGAGGTAGAAGGATCACCTGAGCCCAGCAGGTCGAGGCTGCAGTAGCCGTGAGCGTGCCACTGCACTCCAGCCTGGGTGACAGAGTGAGACTCCAACTAAAAGAAAAGAAAAGAAAAATCTCTGTCAGATTTATTATTGGATTGCATTGATTTTATAAATTAACTGGGGATACCGCATCATTAAGAAACTGAGCCTTCCTATCCATAATCTGGTATATCTTCATTTTTTTCTTGTCCTCCTTAATGATCGTTATACATTTTTACAGTTTTCTTTGAAAGGTCACACAAATTTAGATTTGTCTCTATGTACTTTTAAGTTTTTTGTTGTTATAAGTACTTCTATGTTGCTGATACATCAAATATAATTAATTTTATTTGTTAATCACATATCTGGCAAACTTACTAAAGTTTATTATTTATTAACTTTATTAATATTAATTTCAAATTATTAGAGATTTCTATTCAGAAATCATATCACCTGTGAATAATGAGGGTTTTTTCAAACATTCAAATTCTTAATGTTTTTTATTCTTGCGGATGTGTTATATGTTGTCTAAGATTTTAATATAAACCTTATTAATAATAATTGGAAGACAACTTTAAAGATAATATTGCTAAAGTTTCACCACTGCGTGTGAATTTTGATATAGGTTTTTTCATAGATAACCTTAATCAAGTTAAAAATAAATCCTTTCTATTTCTAGTTTGCTAAGTTTCTTTTCATGAAAAATATTTATAATACACTTTTTGTTTTCTGCATCACTTGACTTGATCTTATGAGATTTTTATCTCTTTTAATAATTTAAGCTGATTAATAAAATGTGTAGACTTTTCTAATGTTAAATCATTAGAAAATGGAAAAACCTAACTTGGCAATGGTCTATTATATTTTTCATATTCATTTATAATCAGTTTTCTCACAGTCTGTTTGGAATTTTTGTATCCAAGTTCATGATGTTGGGATGTAATTTTTCTTTTTTATACTGTCCTTGTCTACTTTTGGCATGAAGGTTATATTAGCTTCACAAGATAAATCGTATCTGTGGGTTGGTATATTCATTTATCTAATCACTGGAAGAGTTTTATATGTTTAGAATTATACCTTCCATGCATGTAAAACCATCCAGTCCACGTTTGTTTGTTTGTTTCTTTTGGGGGGGGAATAAATTTTAAACTAATAAGTCAGTGCTTTATAGCCATTAAAGGACATATATGGACATATAAAGTTTGTTTCAGGTTTTTGCTTTCTTATTGAGAGTCAGTTTTGTAAATCTTTTCATAAAATTGTCTATTTCAGCTAGGTTTTCAAACTTACTGGTATAAAATTACAGGCTTCTGATATCCACTGTGTCATACTTTCCCTTTTAAATTTTAAAATCCTAACATAATTCAAGGCTTCTATTTATCTTGATCATCTCATGAAGAAAGTTCTTTATCTTATCATTTTTACTAAGATCTAACTTTTGACTTTGTTGATACTTCCCTGATACTTTCTATTGAATCTTCGTTTTCTTAGTCATTAATTTCCACTCTTGTTTTTACTATTTTCTTCATTCTACTCTTTGGTTTTATTCTGTTGCTCTTTTTCCAACAATTTAAAAAACTTGAGATATAATTCAAATACCATAAAATTCACCATTTTAATTTTCTTTTTTTTTTCTTTCTGAGTCAGGGTCTCAAGCCAGCCAGGGCAACATAGCAAAACCTTGCCCCTACAAAAGAAAATTTTGTTTAAATGAGCCTGGTATGGTGGCATACACCTTAGTCCCAGCTCCTTGGGATGCTGAGGTGGAAGGATTGCCTGAGTCCAGAAATTCGAGGATGCTGTGAGCCCTGATTGTCAT